CAAAGTAAACCATTTTATTTTTTTATTGTTTTGATCTCACATTATACCTGTTCTTATAAAATGTGATATATAATTGTGTCTCATAGTGCGATATTTACAAATTTTTTAGAAAACCCACCCGGATAGTAAATGTCACGGCTAATGCTAAATTTGGCTGATATTGAATATAGTACCTAGCTATCCAGAAAAAAAGTGACAGTCACGTGATATAGATCATTTCCAACCTGATCAAACTCCTTAAAATTTTCTAGATTTCCTAGCCGATCAGAAAAATTTATTCATCATACATTATTCACTAGACGAAAAGAAATTTTTGACCAAACATACTCTATTCATAAGACAGATTCTGAATCACTGATATAATTACACAAAATAGAACTGTTTTAAAATTATAGTGATAAGAATAATCACTAAAATTTTATAATGATAAGCAATTTATTCCATAATATGCTTATTTTTTTTTACTTTTATTTCTAGTATAAACAGGTTGTGATTTTATATTAAAAGACAAGAAAATACAATAGTCTCATATAAAATAATAGATAAGTAAATAATTATATGCTTATTTTAATAACTAGTTCTATTGTATTAATGAAAAAATTTCTTTAGACCCATTTTAAGCAAAAAAATAATATTAAATTAATGTAACCAAAAAGCAAGATCATTTTTTGATCTCCACATTCTTTGCTATATATGAGCATTTAACCTTTTTTCACATTCTTCGATAGCTTTGACAACTGGTTTTAGGAGATTATCAAAGTTCTTAACAAAATGAGCATTATCTCTTTCTCTATTATACAGCATTAGGGCAAAATCAAAAATTTTTTTATAGTGAGCTAATTTTATTTCTATTTCATCATTTGCGTTATTCTTTTCTATTAATTCTATATTTTGTAAATTACTAGAATTTGAGCTTAGTTCTTCGATAAAATCATCAACGATTGTAGATCTAAAATTTTTTCAAGGATTATTTTCTTGACAGACTGTTTGTGTCTTGTCAGTACCAAAGAAAATCAAAGAGTAGTCGTGATGACATGTTGTTTCTAAAAAAGTAGATAAAAAAAGCTTTCTATTCTTTTTTGTGATTAAATGTTTACAAAGAAGATAATGACTATGCAAATATGCTGAACAGGAGCATATTCAGTTAGTTGTATCAATATGATATCTTTAATCTATACTGAATTTAATATCAGTATTCGCTGCTTTATTTCAATCTTTTTTGAATGCTTGCCACCATGATAGAAAGCTATGATTTATACAATACTGAGTTAACTTGATATTAAATTTTTTATCAGCTGCTTAGCTATGATTTGTGTAAGTCTATCAAGGCGTGGATGATTATAATTATACTTATAATTATATTTTAGCACTCGCCAATAACTTTCAGTAATCATTATGGTTCTAGCCAAAGGTATTACTAATGAATATGTTGAACGAGCAAACAGTTTCCAGTCTTTTTTATTATACCAGTTTATTCATAAGTAGCTCCACAATCTTGGAAGATCATTATCATAACAATACTAGTATTATTTCTTGTATATAATAATGATAAATTTGTGCAGAGCTCTAGAAGATATTTTTTGCTATTGGGATTAGTGGATGCATCATTGCATGTCATTTGATGATATCTATAATTTCACAGATCTTATTATCTGAGCACAAATTTCCAGTATTACTACTTGGAATTCATAACAGCTCAATAAAATTGAATTGACTATAGGCTTCTACTGCTTTATTTTTTAAATAACCAGACACTTTTGATTTTTTATCTTTTAGACATCTATTGATAGCATGTTCTAGATACTAGTAGCAGAGTTGTAAGTTTGTAATCCCTGACCAAGCTTTCTCGATAGCTGGTATTTCCCCTGCATCTTTGTCTACTAAAGCGAATATTGGAAGTACTCCCTCATTTTGAAGGCTTATGAAAAATTCACTCAAGACCTGTGTTCGAGTATTGATTTGATTTCTAGGATCATTATATGCTTCTGCTATACTGTTGCATGTTAGAAGATATAGATATGCTATTGGCATTCCATACACTCCACAGTTCGTATTTACAACAAAAAGTTTAAAATACTCCTGATTCGTTTTGAACATAGAATCTACAATGATCTCTTTAGAGTTTGTGGTACCAATACAATTAAATAGAGATGTTATAAACCCAAGAGCCTTTACGAAGTCGTTCTCCAAGTAATAAAGAATTTTAAACCCATCTTTATTTTCAGGATATTCCTTTGCTGACAAGAGCTGATTGTTTGAATTAAATATATATGTATGTTGCCTAAAAAATGATGCCCAGTAATATATTTGCTCTTTGGTATATACATTCGCGTCAATAAGATTTTGATGATGAAGTCGCCTATACAATTCGGAATTTTGTATATTGTATCCAATATTATTTTAAATACACAGTTTTGCTGCTACTGGAGATTTAGCCTTTCTATACTCTGGATGCTCATGTGCTAGTTAATGAGTTACTTGAACAATAATACATCGTTGCTAAGGATCGATAGTTAGTTTGATTTTTCCAAAGCAGTCATATCGCTCAATGGGAGCACAAGCTTCACTTTTTCATTTTATAGGCTGATTCACAGGTTTTTTCTATTTCCTATCATTTCGTTGTGCACATTCAAGGTATGCCGTTACACAACCAGTAAATTTATTCTTTCTTGTATTAGGGTACACTTTAGGTATATTTTAGTAGTAGCTGGACCCATATTCTAACAGTATAACAACAACACCTATTAGATGATGAAAGTTTTCTTTAAGAGTTCCAAAATCATGTGTATCTAAATCTAACAAGAATTCTGAAAAAATGCTTTCAAGAAGATCTGAATCGA